GAATCGACTTCGTAGTCGAAGGCTTCGTAGCCTGCTCGAGATTCCGCTCGAGAGTTTGCAACTTCGTAGCTGCGCGAATCGACTTCGTAGTCGAAGGCTTCGTAGCCTGCTCGAGATTCCGCTTGAGAGTTTGCAACTTCGTAGTTGCGTGAATCGACTTCGTAGTCGAAGCCTTCGTAGCCTGCTCGAGATTCCGCTCGAGAGTTTGCAACTTCGTAGTTGCGCGAATCGACTTCGTAGTCGAAGGCTTCGTAGCCTGCTCGAGATTCTGCTCGAGAGTTTGCAACTTCGTAGTTGCGCGAATCGACTTCATAGTCGAAGGCTTCGTAGCCTGCTTGAGATTCTGCTCGAGAGTTTACAACTTCGTAGTTGTGCTAAATGATTTCATAATCATTGGAGTTTAGCCGGCTTTATAGCCATTTTGAAAAATTCAACTTTTCATGTAATCATAATAAAGTCGACGCATAAATATAAAAAACGTAATTGAAGCATAAGCTTTAAGATTCATTCCATTATTGAATTCAATTCAAACATCGTTCAGTACAAAGGGTAGTTTGAGACATTGCCTTAAGCGTAAAAGCGTTTGAGATGGATCTCGTGCCAGGATCGTGGGAGTTGTCGAGTTTGGTTGTCTGGTCCTCCGTTTCACCTATTCGAATTTCCATCAACTCTCCATGGGCTCGAGGTCACTCTCTCTCGGCCTCTTTTCATTCGACATTGGTTTTTTGCCCTCCTTGATCTCAGCCCGTTGGTTAGTTTTGACCGCGATCCGATAGCATGTTCTGGACAATTCTTGGTCCCCTCGAGCCTCTCCCACTCGATCTCCAACGGGAAACTTCAATTTCATGTGATAAGTCGACACCACCGCTTGGAAGACATTGAGCGCCGGCCTCCCGAGGATTACGTTATACGCTGACTCGACGTCGACGACGACAAATTTCACCATTTTTACCTTTCTCAAGTCGCCTTCCCCCAGGACGACGGCGAGCGTTGTTTCTCCTAGGGGAGCGACTTCTGGTCTGTTAAATCCAAAGAGTGATGTTTGTAGAGGCGTAAGTTCAATGTCGAGTTCCATCCTTCTGAGACATTCATAGAAAATCACGTTTACAGAACTTCCAGTGTCGACGAACACCCTTTGCACCTCGTATCCTGATATCTGTGCGGTTATCATTAGGGCATCATTGTGTGGTCTCTCGACTTCTCCAACGTCCGCAGGTCTAAAGTTCATTACTGGTCCGCATTCATCGACTTGCTGCAGTTCGACCTTTGCATATCGACCTCGAGCATACGCTTTCCTTGCTCGGTTCGAGTCTCCGTCTGTTGACCCTCCAAAAATCATATTAATTACTCCCCTTTTTGGTGGGAGCTTCTCTCTCTCTGGTGATCTTTCCCTCTTGCGAGGGCTCTTGCGTCTCTCTCTCCTCTTGCTCGACCTCTCACGGTCTTTGTATATGAACTCCTTCAAGTGTCCTGCCTTTATCAACCTTTCGATTTCGTCTTTAAGGTGTCTGCAGTCATCAGTGTCGTGACCGTAATCTTTGTGGAATCGACAGTATAAATTACTCTTGGGCCTTACTGGTCCATCTTTCTTTGTTCGTGGCCATCTCACCACATCGTCACGGATCTCTCTTTCCATGACTTCCAGTATTCTTGCATTAGGAGCCGACAGGGGTGTGTATTGAGTCGGCCTCCATCCTCTGTATCGTCCTTCACCCTTGTCAGCTCGTGGTGATCCCCCTCTTTCCCCTGTCGACTGGCTATTCTTCTCCTTCTTATCGTCTCGACTGTCAGTTTGGGGTATTTTCACATTTTCCAGATAATCGGCTTCGGCCTCCTCGACATTCATATATTTGGCGCATCTTCCCAACACGTCATCGAAACTCCTACCAGGTCGCTTGGCCAAAGAGTTCTTACATAACCCTGGCAGTAGCCCTCTCGTCAGTCCTCCCGATTTGATTTCCTCTGTCGCTGTTGGGCACTCGACACATGCCTTTGTAAACCTCGCCACATACTCTCGCAGCGACTCCCTTCTTTTGTTGCATACTTATCAACGAGAGATAGGATTTCTCTTGCACCCTCACACTTGCAAATTGGTTAAGAAAACTCGAGCTAAATCCATCAAAGTCCCTAATCGACCCCGCTGGAAGTTGGTGAAACCAGTCCTGAGCTGACCCTGTCAGAGTCGTCAAGAAAGCGCGACATTGCACTGGGTCGCTGTAGCGATGAAGTACTGCCATATTTTCGAAACTCCTCAGATGTCGAGACGGGTCTGTGGTACCGTCATACCATATGTTCAACTCCCTAAAGCCTTTGGGCAAGTCGGCTCTCAGGATCTGCTGCGAGAATGGGTGTTCTTTCGCTCCTCTGCTTTTTCTCCCACCGACTCGAGCTTGCAAGTCGCGAACCTGTGCCAATAGTTGCTCTAACGTCTCGTCCCTCGCCTGTGGATTAACAGTTCGAATGGAGGATTTCTCTTCATCTACCCTTCTGTTTTGTTGTACATTCGACTGGGCTTGTTGCTCGCCACGCGGCTGCTGCTCGACTCGAGGGGGGTACTCGACTCGAGGCTGCTGTTCTACCGGCGCTATCTGCTTCATCTGGGCCGCCACGGCTTCAGCAATCATCTTTTGCATCTCACTCCTCGTCATTGTCAGAGTCTGTTCCTCGACGCGGGGTTGTGTCTGTTCCGGAACCTCCTGTATCTGTTTTCCCTCGCGTCGAGAGACCTCCGTTGGCTCCTTCTCCCTATCTGGGTTAGGGTTTTGACTTGTTCCTGCCTGGGTCAACACTTGTAGCTTCACGCCGGTTGGAGTCACAGGCGTTTCTCCGCCCAACGTCAGTCCTGGTGGTGGAAGTCCTCCGCAAGGTGGCATTCCCATCATCTGCATTACGGGGTGTTTGGTGGTGGAGAGCGGCGGTGGCCTCTTGTCCATCCACGTCCCTCTAAACTCCTCGCTCAAGTTCCTCTGCAAGCCTTCCTTCTCCGCCATCAGCAAACAGATCGGAGCTGGGCGTGAAGCTCTTCCTTCCTTTAAGAACTCCCCACAGACGGCGCCAAATGATGGGTCTACTTCCAGATCTGGAGTAAACCGGTTGTTGTGAGCTCAGATCTGCTTGAACCGCTTCCCAACCGTTGCTAGACCGCGAGATTCCTGCAAAAACTCAACGCCGGAGGTGTTTCCGGCGTAGAGCCTCCGACGCTCAAGTCAGTATGAGAGTGATGAAGAGATGCTGCGCAGCAGCTATATGGAGGAGAGTGGGAATGAATGAGGGTTAGGGTTTAGGGTTACCTCATCTCCTTTATATAGGAGTGAATACTTACGTGAAGTGCCCAAAATGCCCAAGTCGGTGGACCTAGAAGGTCCAAAATGCCCTGGTCGATTCATCTCCCCTTATTGTTGAGTCATCACAAGATTCCTTCCTATCCTTCCTAATGTGGAGGGCTTCGGATATGTTGCTAAGTGTGGTGAATCGTCATCACATCTTTGTTATTTAAGGTATGTGAGGTCGACTTCGAGATCTAGGAAGTCGACTCGTGGATATGTGCGGATTCGGAGGCTACGCTTGACTAGTTCTTTGAGGCGAAGTCGTCTTCAGAGAGTCGTCTTAGTTCAGTCGACTTCTGGGAGTCGACTTAAAATATCTGGATGACCGGGAGCTGTACTCTTGCTGTTCCTCTTTCATTGATGTCGATTAGTGAAAGTCGATAGATTAAGGTCGACTTGCGAGAGTCGACTAGATCAATCTCTGCTTCTTCTTGATTGCTCTTAGTAGAATCGACCTTAGGGAAGTCGATTTGGGCATGTCGACGGAGTCATGTCGACATGCTAGTAATTCGAGTGGTTTGCTGGTTGAGTAAGGAGCTTCTGCACCGGGTTATCCTTATGTGGCTATATCACTCCCTAAGTGTGAAATGACTAGAAATGAACAAATCTGAGTAAAGAAAATAATACAAATGAAAATGGATTCAGTTCTTCGGCAATTGACAATTCCGAGAACTAAACTCCAAAAGAAATAAGGCTTAAGCAAATCAACTTGAAACTTGAAGGTAAAATGGATAAAAATGATAGCTCCAGCAGCCGTCCTTCAATCTTCAAGGTAAGTTTATATATGATCTCTTTTCTCAAAGAACTCCCACGATCCTTGGTCTCTCCTTTGGTATATCCAAGAAGTCCTACCAAGTAAGGACTCTTCTTCTCTCTCCAAATATTCACTTGCCTTAGTTATCCGATCTCTTCCTTATCTCCCGTGATTTTCTACTTGCACGAGGCTCCTATCCATGTGCACTGATTTCCTACAAGGTGTAAATACACAGTAAGTCCAAATATTCCTTTAACATAATATAAACTAATTTAGGAAACAAGAACTTCCCTTATTTATGCATGCAGGAACTTCCTTTTTGAACTCATGCCAAAATATTATATCTTTCACTTATGATATGAATTGTGAAAGAAGAAAAAGACGACCAGCAACAATATAACATAAGCAGCATTCAATGCAAATAAAGAAAAACAAAAGAAGAAAATAAAGAACACAACGATCACGCACTAGCCAAAAAAACAACTTCCCCTGAAAATCAGGGCTTTTGCAGTTCCATTTCACAGTGCCTATTAAGACGGAAACAAACAAAAAGATAAGATAAATAAACAAAATTTATTCAAAAGATCGAGTCCTCTCCATGGAGTTTACATGGAGACAAACTGCTGACTCGGCATATTTTATCTTTTTCCTGAAACAAGAGGGGCCCCCTTTTGCAAGTTGGCAACAGAATCCCACCAATCAGAGCCTGCCACCTGTCCAACCACCACAAACTCTTCATTTCCTCTATCCTGAAACTAGTATATATTCGCAAAAGAAAGCCCATTTGTTCAATTCCTTTAAATCAAGATAAAGGGCACAAAATATACTTTATACCTGATCAAATTCTTGAAATCAAGATTATCATCGTTCGATGATCCGAGTGCGGAAGTTTTGCTCGTGGCGAAAGTGTAGCCGTTTTGTGCAAGAGCAAAGGACGCGTTTTTACATAATTTGGAGGTGCTCCATAATCCTCATCCGGTGGAAGTTCGAGGGCGTAAGGCTCGAACTATCGAGAGGGTAAAAAGGGATGTGAATTATGAGAGAGATTTTGATGCAAATAATTTGATTTAGGGAGCATATTTTACATAAATGTCGGCAAACGGTAGTTGAATTTTCTCATATCATTTTCTCCTTGCTTTGGGAGAAATGAAGGCAAATTGAAATTGACTAGTAGCACAATTTTCCAATTTTTTTTTTTTCTTTTCAATTTCTAGTAGCTGGGATTCTTTAATCTAAAATTAAAAAATAAATTAAAAAATCCCGAATGAATAGATCATATATCTACTACACTTATCGCGGACCCTTTTACATTCAGTAATTTCTTCCATTGTTCTAGATTATGGACTATTTATATAATTGATATCAATATATTTCATACATGGTTTGCTAGTAATGAGTTCTAAGATATCTGCAACACTCCCAGAGTGAGATGCTTAATCAATAACATATAGAATTTATTTGATAGCAAATAGGCATTTAAATCAATGCATCAGACTCGTTATCTTATTAGAGACGTGATTTTGTTTTACTTACACAAAATAAGTGATGTGGTACTAATAATGTGTTTGATAGGTTAAGTTAAAAAGTTAGCTCGTAACTTTAAGTTGATAATTGATAGGATAGTTCCACATTGATAACATAACTAATGATTGATAACGGAAAGTTAATTAATATAAATAACATTATTTAAATCACCACAACAATAAAAAATATCACACCGCACCCAAATGATTGCTATTTACCGCACCCAAATTTATATAGCTAATGTGGTACTAATGATTGCTATTTACCACTCTTAAATATTCCTCTTTTGTCCTTACTAAAAAATAATAATAAAAAATTCAGTTTCAATTCAGTTTTTTAACATTAAAAAAATTATAATTCTTAAAAGATGTTGAATGTTGCCAATCAAAAAAATCAATCAACACAAAGCTTACAAAAAAAAAAAGATTTATTAAAAAAAAAACACAAAAACTCAATAAAAAAATTCAAAAAAATTCCGAAAAAATGGCGAGACAATCCTCACGCACCGGGAAAG